TATCTATCTATCTATCTATCTATCTATCTATCTATCTATCTATCTATTTATATATTTTTTTAATTTTTTTGGTAGCCTAGCTATCCTGGATGTACTTTGTAGACCAGGCTGGCCTCAAACTCACAGAGGCCTCTGCCTCCCTGAGTGCCGGGATTACAGGCATGCACCACCGCACCTGGTTTTCCCAAGATCTCTTAATTAGTTCCTATCAAATATTCAACAAAATAATCTATAGTTTTAAGGAAGATACTTAAGAATATCAGAAATGTTTCTAGCTATTTCTTCCTTTCTGTTGCTTACCGTACAGCCCAAAGTCTCCTCAGCAACACTTCCAGTGAGACCACAGGAGTGGAGTGTCCCTGTGTGGTCAGTAAGGTCGACCAGCACATCAAAACTGAGGGAAAAAGACTTAAATTGGGAAGAACCTTTGTTGCAAACTGTGCAAGTACTGGAGGCTTCATTTACAGTGTAACCACAGCTGAAACTAAAACAAAAAACAAACAAAAAAAACCATAAAAGTTATTTAAGAGATAATGATCCTCAATAACAAATTTGATCTTTAGCAAAATTATCTTTTTTTTTTTTTTTTTTTTTTTTAAGAGACAGGGTTTCTCTGTGTAGCTTTGGCTGTCCTGGACTGGCTTTGTAGACCAGGCTAGCCTTAAACTCACAGAGATCTGCCTGCCTCTGCCTCCCTGAGTGCTGGGATTAAAGGTGTGAGCCACCATGCCCTGCTGCAGAATTATCTCTTAACATTGTAAAAACATTGTAAGATGTTCTAAAATCCCAGAGGTTATTATCTTCACCACAAAACTAGGTAGGCAAATTCTCTCTGTGACAACAATTTAGAACATGTATACACAAATGACTCCATGTAAATCTGGGAACTTGGATGAGGTATTCAGATTGATGAATTCACAATCCTGACCTACTGTCATGTAAGGCATTATACCTTGCAAAATGTAACTTCTAGCATGCGTTGGACAAAGGGTCAGAAATATCCCTCTGTTCTTTCATTTGCATCGATTGAGAATTGTTTTGGAATTTTTTGTTTATTTTTGTCTTTGTTTTTCAAGACAGGGTTTCTCTGTGTATCCCTGTCTGTCCTAGAATACACTCTGTAGACCAGGCTGGCCTTGAACTCAGAAATTCATGTGCCTCTTCCTTTCAAATGCTGAGATTAAAGGCTAGTGCCAGCACCACCCAACAAGAATTGTTTTTTTTTTTTTTGTTTTTGTTTTTGTTTTCAAGGCAGGGTCTCTAATAGTACAAGCTGGCTTTGAACTCCTGATCTTCCTGCCTTCACTTCATAAATTCTAGGATTACAGAAGGGCACCATTACACCTGTCTCAATCTCTACATTCTTAACTTTGTGACTCTCAAGTTAATCACAATAAAAATAATTCAGTTATAAAAATTTGTAGACAGACTTCCACAATATAATTTTAGATGTTTCTTCCCAAGCATTATTTGACAAAAATTAGTAAATGTCTTGGGTTTTACTTTCAAGGTAATAGCTAAGAATGGAGGTCAGATATGTCACACATTGAGAAAAATTTACTGCTTCCATGTTGCTATAAGATATGACAAGCAAAATGGTTATCTGCCAAATTATTCAATAAGTTTGTCATTCCAATGAAATGTTTCAAATAGTATTATAAGTTCTGATACAAAAATATGACCTATTTTACTTTAAAATCCAGGATCCTTCTTTCTTTCCTCCCTTCCTTCCTTCCTTCTCTCTCTTCCTTTCTCTCTCTCTTTCTCTCTCTCTCTCTCTCTCTCTCTCTCTCTCTCTCTCTCTCTCGGCTGGAAATTGAACCCAAGGTCTTGTATATGCAAGGCAAACACTAACCCATATAGCGCCACCCCAGGCCTAAAAGTAAGTTATCATTGAATCTGTCTTAGTTAGAGTTTCTATTGCTGTGACAAAACACCATGACCAAGCCAGGCATGGTGGTTCACCCCTTTAATCCCAGCACTTGGGAGGCAGAGATAGGTGGATCTCTGTGAGTTAAAGACCAGCTTGGTCTACAAGGTGAGTTCCAGGACAATCAGAAGCTGTTACACAAAGAAACACTGTCTTGAAAAACCAAAAACCAAAACCAACCAACCATCAACAACAACAAAAACAAAACAAACAAACAAACAACCATGACCAAAGAACAAGTCAGAGAGGAAAGAGTTTACGTGGCTTACACTTTCACACTGTAGTTCCTCACTGAAGGAAACCAGAACAGGAACTCACACAGGGCAGGAACCTGGAGGTAAGATCTGATACAGAAGCCATGGAGGAGTGCTGCTACTGGCTTGTTCTCCATGGCTTTCTCAGCCTGCTTTCTTATAGAACCCAGAACTACCTGCCTAGAGAGCCCATCCACAATGGGTTAGGCCCTCTTCCAGTTGAGGTTCCCTCCTTTCAGATAACTCTACCTTTTGTTAAGTTGACATAAAACTATCCAGCACAGAATAGAAATAATTTGTCATGGTTTATTTATATAAAAAGGTCTTTCATACAACCACTGTTAAGGCAAAGCATATCTTTAACTACTATTGAGTTTAACTTTCTTAACAGTAATTATTTTTTACAAACATAAATTTGTTAAAAATAATGTCTACTTACCATTTATTTCTAACTACTTTGGTAGTTTCATCATCAATGTTCAGCATAGAAATATAAGCATAAAGGATGCCATAGAAAGGATCAACTTTTCCTTCACTTTTCAAAGCTTTTATTTTTAATTGTTCCACTGTATAGACATCAACTATTGTGTTTACTAAAAATAAAAACAAGTATTACAATTCCATATATGTTCTAAGATAGAATAAAAGCTTACATCCCAATAGAAAAGCAGCTGATGAGAGCAGATGCAGACACCCACACCCAAACAATAGGCAAAGTTTAGGGAACCCTTCTGAAGAGTGGAAGAAGGATAGTAGGAGCCAGAGTGGTCAAGGCCACCTGGAGAAAACAGCTCACAAAATCAACTAAGCAGGGGGCTCACAGAAACTGAAGTGGCAATCATGGAAGCTTACATGGTGTATGCTATGTCCTCTACATATATGTTGTGGGTTTTGTGGGACTAACAGTGGGAGTAGGGGTGTCCCTGACTCTGCCTGTTCTTGAGACATTTTTCTCCTTCTGTGTTTCCCCACCCAGCCTTCATATGAGGGTTTGTGCCTAGTCTTATTGCATCTTTTTATGCCCTGTTCAGCTGATATGCCTAGGAGGCCTGCTCTTTTCTGAAGGTAAATGGAAGAGCAGTGGATCTGAGGAAGAGGAGAGGTTGTGGGGCAGTTGGGAACAGTGGAGGGAGGAGGCTGTAGTTGGGATGTATAATATAAAAAGAAAAAAAATCAAAACTCTTTAAATGGTAGGAAGAGTAGGGCATTCGAAAAACTCATCCAGAACATCTGAAAAAAAAATGTATATGGATTGAACTAAGGGTCTCATGAATACAATACTTTCTGTCAGATTTTGTGAACATTGCACTGCCTGAGAAAAGAGTTGTTAGCACTCTCAGATTGGTTAATATTAATATAATCTCTTCTGTTAAAAAATTCGGGGCTGGGGAAATGGCTCAGTGGTTAAGAGAACTAGCTGCTCTGGCAGAAGACCTAGATTCAGTTCTTAGTACTCACATGGCGGCTCACAACCATCTGCATCTCCAGTTCTAGGGGATTCAACACCTTCTCCTGGTTTTCACAGGTATACATGGTACAAAGACATACATGCAGACAAAACTTCCATATATATGAAGTAAATTTTAATTTAAAAAAAAAAAGTCAAATGTGGAGGAGGCTCACAGTTTTAATCCCAGCTCTAGGGAGGTGGAGGCAGTCAGTTATCTGTGAGTTTGAGGCCAGCCTGGACTACATAGGAGTCATAGGCTAGCCAGGGCTACATAGTAAAACCCTGTTTCAAAAAAAAAAAAAGAAATCAAAAGAAGGGCTAAGAATATAACTCAATGAAACAACATTTGCTTAAAATGCATGAGGTCATGGGTTTGACCCACACACACCAGTGAAAAATAATCTCTCTCCCAACCTCCCTCCCTCATCTAGAAGGTCACTTACAGTTTATGGATTCTTTGAAATAACTGTCAATTTCATCAGCCACATTTGTCTCTTTATTTTCTCTTATATAATTCAGTAGAATATTGGCTTCTGGTGTATCTTAAATTGAAAATGCATAATAAGAAAAAAGTCAAGTAATTATCTTTTAAATTACTATAAAGTATGTAAAATTATCTTTTTTATAAAGCATGGCACAACATAAGAAGGTAATCCAACAGAATTATCATTAGGCCAATAACACAGAGGCAAAGTATATTAACATGGAGAGATGTTACCAGCTGTTGCTAGTGAATAGGCAGCTGTATAAAATTGTGTGGTATAAGACTCTTAAACTGAAAAATATGAACATGTAAAGTTATCTGAAATAATAAACATGGCAAAAATTATCATTTATAGGTTATACAATTATAAATCATTTTAATGTTCCTTTTAATTTTTTATTATTAAAAAATTGATATTATGATATCAAATATCAAATATCAAAAAATTGATATTATGATAAAATATGAATTATTTTATTCATTTTCTTAATTAAAAAGAATTATTTTAGGGGCCCAATAAATGGCTTAGCGGTTAAGAGTGCTTGCTACTCTTACAGAGATCAGGTTTGGTTCCTGGAACCCAAGTTTTAGGATAGCATTATATCACCTGGGCTTGGCACATATTACTTCCTAAGCTGTCTTTATCTTCCAAGCCCCCATCTCACACCATCTGCTCTAATAATTTCTGTCTGGGCTACCTCCCATCCATAATCCCCAAAAAACTTGCTAATGTTCTTTATCTAGGCCAATTTTCTCCATCCATGCCGATCTGGTCATGTACTTCTCTCCATGCTAAACCATTGTGGCTCCCTGTTTCCTTCCTCCTCTGATACCTATCTCTTTTTCCCATGATCCTTCTGTCCTCAAAGCCCTTGAACTTTAGCCATGCCTACCTTCCTTCTGCCTGCCCAGGTGTGTCAGCATTTTATTATTAACCAACCAAGAATAATTTCTTAGGGAAAGTTTACACAGCAAGGACAGTTGTAAGTGAAATGTATTCTTCTGGGCAGCAACAAAATCTTGGGGGCCAGTAATTACCATTAGAATACACAGCATCAGACCCACCCCCAACATGCTACTTTTGTGTAGAAATAAGAGGACAATTTTCTTGAGTCATCTCTTACTTTTACACGGGTTCCAGAGATTGAACTCAGGTTACCAAACTTGACCAGCAAGATTTTCTGAATATTATATTCATTTCTTTTCTCTTTGTATGTACTTTTAACAGTTGTATTTGTTAAGGTGATGGTGGTACACACTTTTAATCCCAGCACTCAAGAAGCAGAAGCAGGCAGATCTCTGTGAGCTTGAGGCTAGCTTGGTCTGCAGAGCTAGTTCCAGGATTATACAGAGAAACACTGTCTTAAAGAAATGCATAAATAAATTGAATTTGTTTGCTTATGTTGAAAATGATATGGGTAGCTCGGGCTGATCTAAACTCAGAATCCACCTGTGTCAGACTCCTAAGTGTTGAGATTATAGACATACATGACCATGGCTAACTCATTTTTGTTGTTAGTGGTGTTTTTGTTATATTTGGGTTTTGCTGTTTTGGTGTTTTTTTTTTTTTTTTTTTTTTTTTTTTTTCAAGACAGGGTCTTACTATGTAGCTCTGGCTCTCCTAGAACTCACTATGTAGACCAGGCTAGCCTTAAACTCACAGAGCGCTGCCTGCCTCTGCCTCCCAAGTATTGGAATTAAAGGTGTGAACCACCAGGCCCCGGCTCCATGGTTCACAACCATTTATAGTGAGATCTGATGCCCTCTCCTGGCATGTATGTACATGCAGTCAGAACACTGTATACATAATAAATAAATCTTAAAAAAAAAATGTAACTTTGAAAGGGTCTTCATAGGATCCTAATGACCTTCAGTCTCAAGACCTCAGCCTCCAACAAAACTGTCCGTAGTTGTAAAATCCTACTGCTTATCTGACTCCTTTATGTAGGAATAAGGTTATGGTGTAATTCAAATGCTAAGTTCTGTTAACCGCCCCACCCCACCCCAATATCTGGTTGCAGTCCTTGTTCTGAAAAGCTCCTGTCTCAATGTTGTATAAACATTACTCCCCAATGTTCTGGTGTGCCAATAAAGCAGTTTTACAGCCAGTTGCAAAGCAGGGGAGAGAATAGGGCTAGACTTCCTGCCAGCCATGGGAGGTGGAGTTAGAGGATGAAATAGGGGAGCCAGCCGAGGGCAGATGTCCAGGAGGGACCAGGAGAGAGAGTTCAGCAGGCAAAGCTACAAAGTGCTCTTATCTCTGGAATGTACACTGGGAGGAAACTAAATTAGCTTTGAGGGTTAAGAATAGATTAATTACCACTCAGTTTTTGTGCTGTAAAGCTTGTTAAAATAATATCATTGAGTCTCAATTATTTGTGTGATATCCAGGTTAAGAGAGAAACTAAGAAACAAACACAATCTTATAAAAATAACATTGACACCTCTAACTTCCTTGGGCAGATATAGGACTTTTTCCACCTGCTTCCATTACATATGCCCTATTACTGTTGTTTCTCAAATTGAGACTAGATTCCTTATGAACAAGGGTTGTGCTTTTTCATCTTATATTTCAATATTCAGCATCATGACTGTCCTTATATTCATCTGACCTTCCGCTGTCTCCTATCTTATTCTAGAAAAGACTGAAATTATCTACATTGTCGGTACATTAAAAGCATTCTTCGAGTATTTGTAAATAATACGTAATTGAAGGAATGTTTTTGAAATCATTGAAGGGGAGCAATTGCTAAGAGGCCTCCAGCAATCAAATCAATCAACGCCTAAAATCATGGCTCAGGAAGACAGAATTTCCTCTCACTCTAATGAATACTCTCAAGGTAGGAAAAGCATCAAAAAAAATTATCTATCTGGGATAGATATCTAAGCCATTTAGAGGTTCTTCATTTCTACAAAGTTGGTAGGTGTTGACTAGGAAATTAAAACAGAGCTGATTTAAATCAAGCAACAAAGTTTAAACACTTTTATAAATATTCTACTAAATTTATATCCTTGAAAAAATAAATTCAAGAACTCTGTTGTACAGCATCATGTCTATAGCTAATAATATCACATAACAGGATAGTACGCTACCTTCAATTATTTTAAAAAATATTTCTTTTTTTACACCTTTAATCCCAACACTTGGAAGGCAGAGGCAGGTGGATCTTTGTTTCAGGCTAGTAAGTGCTACAGAGTAAGACCTTGTCTCAAAAAATAAAGGGGGTGGGGTGGGGCGGGGAAGGATGTGCAGTCTTACTGCAATTTGATATGCCATATTTGGTTGATGTCCATGGAAGGCCTGCCCTTTTCTGAGGAGGAATGGAGGAGGAATGGGTGTGGGGGCAGAGGAGAGGTTGGAGGGAAGGACTGGGAGGAGATGAGGTTGGGATATAATAATCATAATAATAAATATTTAAATATATGCATATATGTGTGTCTGTGCAGGGGTATATGCATATGGATGTACATGCCCACAGAGATCAGAAGAGGGTGTCACAGCCTCTGGGAGTTGCAGGTGGTGGTGAGCTGCCTGATATAGGTACTGGGAATCAGACTCAGCAGCACAGCCTCTTAGCTGCTGAGTTCTGGGCTGCATTCCTAAAGAGTACTAAGAGTGTAGATTTTAAGTGTTCTCACCACAAAAAGGTGGATATTGTGTTATGGTTTGGATATAAAATGGCCCCAAAGCTTCATTTGTCGAAGGACTGATCCCAGGATGGTAACATTATTGAGAGGTGATTAGTTCATAAGAGCCCTGACCTCATCAATGCATTCCTCTGTTGATGAATTCATAGCTTAATGGGCTATTAGATGAGGCCTGGTGTAGGCAAAAAGTTATTGTATAATTCAAATGCTGGTTTCTGAATACCCCATATCTGATTGCAATCCATGTTCTGACAACCTCCTGTGTCCATGTTGTGTAACACTGTTCCCCAACTGCCCCCTGATATGTAAATAAAGCATCTTATAGCCAATTGCTGAGCCGGGGAGCGAATAGGGCTGGACTATCTGCCAGGCAGGGGAAGAGGAGGTATAGAAGAGGAAATGGGGGATTCAGCCATGTGAGACGTCTAAATGACATCAGGAGAGAGGAGCTGGAAGAATGTACACTGGAGGAAACAGGTTAGCTTTGAGAGTTAAGAATACAGTGATAACTGCTCCATTCTTGTACCGTGAAGCTTGTTTAAATAATATAATAGAGTCTTGATTATTTGTGTGATAGAGGGTTAAAAGACAAACTGAGAAACACAGTTTTATAAAAATAACTTAAACAACCTGGCTAGAGGAAATCATCAGGGACGTCTCTTACCTTTTCACTTCTCAGCCACCATTAAATAAAAAGCCTTAAAAAAATTAACCTGCATTTTGATTCTTTTTTTGTTTTGTTTTTCAAGACAGGGTTTCTCTGTGTAGCCTTGGGTGTCCTGAAGCTCACTCTGTAGACCAGGCTGTCCTTGAACTCACAGAGATCCTCCTGCCTCTGCCTCTGCCTCTGCCTCCCAAGCTCTGCATTTTGATTCTTAAATACATTGTACAAATATTGGCATATGTTTATGATCACTTCCAAAAGAATGAAAAACAGAAAACATTTTACCTGGATTAGTTGTGATAATGGTTTTTGAGATTACTGTTGCTGCCATGCAGTTCTGAAATTTGTTAAAATTTATTCTTACATCTGAGGCAAATATTACTGTTTTGGGGAAAAGCCATTTTTTTAAAGTTAATATATGAGGGATGAAAATGACAAATATTTTTAACACAATCATAAATCATAAAATTATAAGACCTGTTTCTTGTGGCATCCAGCTCTGTGCAAGTATAATGGATTCATTATCCCAACTGCATTTGTTTAAAAGAAGTGAAACAAAGTGAGGACATTAAAAAAATCTGGCAGTGACATATTTACAGTTCCCCTCAAAAGAACCCCCAAAACAAAAAGCCAAAAATCACAATTTCCAGATAACCAAGAAGGTTAAGAGTTCATACTTTTTAATGTATTACTACACACTGTGTGTGTGCACATGTGCACTCACATGTTTGCAGTCAGGCCACAACATATGCAAGGAGGTCAGAGGAGAGCTCTGCAGAGTCAGGTATTTTTCTCTTTATATGGGTTCTGGGGTCAAACTTGGGTTGCCTTATTTGCATGGGAAGTGTCTTTGCTGGCCATGCCATCCCTAAGGCCCAAGAGATTTATGTGAGAAGTTGTTTTCAGCATGTACTAATCTCTAACATCTACCCTGCCAGTCCTTTACTTGCCCAGTACTTGGTTACTTAGAAATGAATGATTCAAGGCCTAAAATCCTTCAAGTCAAACCTTAACCATTACAGCTGTGTATCCCAAATGGATACATGGCTCACAGGACTTGATTGGTAGATAGCACTTGCAGACAAAGGCATTCAGGGTCATGATCATTTTTTGTTTTTGTTTTTTAAGATTTATGTATTTATTTATTTACTTATTTATTTATTTATACAGTGTTCTGCCTGCACGTACAACTGCACACCATATCTCACTATAGACGGTTATAAGCCACCATGTGTTTGCTGGGAATTGAACTCAGGACCTCTGGAAGAGCAGACATTGCTCTTTTAGAATATAGACTATTTACCAATGTACCAGCAAATTTAAAAAGTTTGACTTGTCCTTCATCAGTATACCCTAATAAAATCTATTTGTTATGAAGCAAAATGATATAACTTGTCACAGTGAAGTGCCTCTAAGGTGATTCTATGCCAGTTTAGGTTGCATACAGAAAAATCTCAACCTTCAAGAGAGAAGTTTAATTTTTCAAGTGTTGTTTATCTGTTATTATATCTCTTGATATATTTTTTTTTATAAAACAAAAGTTTTCTCAGTGATAAGAGCATGATGACACAGTTAGTGACAGATATGGGAGAGTACCATGTCATTGTGAAAGAAGGCTCTGTCTCATCGAAGAGTTTGACTTCACACCTCTGGCCTTTTCTTCGGTCTGAAGTTATAAAGTATTTTGGCTCTCCAACCTTAAGTTAGAGAAAGAAATAGTTGAAGGAAATTATTACTCCTTTTCTACAGATGTGAAGGTACTTAAACAAAATCAAATAATTGCTTTTTGAACATGAAATTCTAAATATTAACAAGAAAAGAACCATTAATAAATATTTGGTTATCTGAATGCATTTTCTGTCTAAATTAGATATACTTAGCTGAAGTTGTAAATTATGGACATTTTAAAGGCAGAATACAGACATGCACTCAAAGAGGAGATAAATAAAAATTATATGTCAAGGTACTAGGGCATCCAGGTGTGGTGGCAGACAACTATCATTCCAGCACTTGGAAGGCTGTGCCAGGATTGCTGTTGAGTTCAAGGTTAGCCTGAGCTACATAGCAAGATCCTGTCTCTAAAACATCAAGCTGGGTGTGGTGATGCAAACCTTTAGTCCCAGAACTTGAGAGGCAGAAGCAGATGGAGATATTTGATTTTGAGGCCAGCCTGGTATATATAGTGAGTTCCAGGACATCTAGGGCTATACAGAGAAAACCTGTCTCAAACAAACAACTAAATAAATAAATAAAAATAAATGTTGAAACAAATCCAGGACAAACCCCCTTGTAACATAAATGTGGAAGGATGTGTCTTCCATGGCTTATCAGAGAGCCTGGCATGGAGTTGCTGCAAACAAATGCACTCCAACTTCTTAGGCCCCAGTCTCCTGAATATTGATCCTTCTTTGTCTTCTTCATGAGTTAAGGTAGTAAGGGCTACATGAAGGAACACACAGGAAATGCTCTATGACTTAGCCAATTCTACCCATAATGCAGGCAACATATCAATGAAGGAGAGGTGAACTCATAGGGTCTTGTCTCTGACCAGCAGGCTTTTTCACAAGAACACAACAATTGGCTTGGTGTAGTGGCACACACCTTTAATACCAGTACACAGGAGGCAGAGGCAGAGGCAGAGGCAGGTGCATCTCTGTAACTTCAAAGCCAGCCTGGTCTACAGAGTGAGTTCTATGACAGCCAGAGCTACATAGTGAGACCCTGCTCAGTGCTGAGAGAGAAAGAGAGAGAGAGAGAAAGAGAGAGAGAAGAGAGAAAGTGAGAGACAGAGACAGAGAAACAAGGGAAGGCCCCCAGCATAGCCATTGACTTCTTCTAAGCTACTGCCACTGCTATCCTTATGGGCTAGACTGAGTACTGTGGGAAAGATCTGAGGAAAAACACAAAGGCTCCATGAAAAAGGGTCTACAAGAAAATGCCAGAGTATAAAAGGTCAACCATAACAAAAGGAGTATGTAAAATACTGTCTTTGGGGTTGAGAAGTCAAAAGGGGAGATAAAAGGCATGAAAAGAAGTGATATGACATACAAAAGAGGGTGTCATGCTTATGGGGTGAGGGGAGCTATTGCAAGGTTTAATATGTTGACAGCATCATTAGAGGACTTTGGGGAAACAACTAGGGGTTGGCTGAGATAGCCTGTATTTCAAGACTGTTATATAGAGTATCCTAAACAATTTTCTGCATGTGCTATATTGTGAAGGTTTATTTTGGGGGGGTTGGGAAGTGAAGATGCATGGAGCCACACTCCCAGCCCTTCAAAATATACTTTTGAGGCCCACCTTTAAATTTTTTTCAGAGTCTGTTAAGCTCAGAGCTTGTCACAGTTCCTGAGACAGATGCTGACATAACAGAAGTGATATACTCCTGACTTCGTTACTTCTACACTTCACTGTCCTTCTCTGCTTCTCACCAGAACCTTACCACAGCAGCTCCCACTGCAGTCCAGGAGGTCTCCCACCCTCTTCCATCTCTGTGTCCCTCTGAGAATACATATACACAAGTTATTCCTTGACTTGTTTAAAGATGTTTTTAAAACATTATGGCTGTTTTGACAATAAACTTATCCTTTCTTTCTTTCTTTTGTTTTTTTGAGACAGGGTTTCTCTGTGTAGCCCTGACTGTCCTGGACTGGCTTTGTAGACCAGGCAGGCCTCAAACACAGAGATCCCCCTGCCTCTGCCTCCCCAAGTGCTGGGATCACAGGTGTGCACCACCCCCACTTGTTTACTTATCATTTCTTTTTTTTTTTTTTTAGGTCTTTGTTTAACCTAATATACACAAAACTTTCATATAGTTAATGGGTCATTTATAAGTGTATGCTGCAATTAGCAATCAAGTATGACTTTATTTTGCTAGTGATTCACAGATAAAATACTACTTTCCTTTTAATGAGAAATGTTATTGTCTTAATTTAACTTCCTACCAAGACAAAGAGGAAAAATTTCCCCAGCCAGTACTTACTATGTTCTAAACACAAATAAGGTGACAGAGAATTCCCTGACAAATTGCAGGGAGCTTTGCTAAGGTTTTAATTTACTGATTTCCTGACTTACCGATCTCACAGCTGCAAGCACATTAATAATCCTCCCATCAAGACTATGTCCATTTGCAACAATGTCAGCCAATGAGTAATAATCTCGAGATTCTTTAACAGGCAAGTGTATCAAAGAAAATAACTTGGTATCCACTTCATAAGGAGAACAAACTTTTACCATGGAGTGATTCTCACTGAGCAAAAGTTTACAGTTGCTAAAAGAAAAAAACACAAAAAGTCAGCACATTATTGTTAATTAAGAGAATCTTTGGCTCACATTCAGTTATATACAGCTAGGTTTGGTGGCCCATCCTTATCACCCCAGCACTGGAAAGCATATGTTTAGAAGGAATGACACATATTCAAGGACACCAAGATATAGGTAGGGAATTTCAGGCCACACCAAATTACAGTATCAGACTCTGTTTTAAAAAAACAAAACGAAAATCACATTCAATTACTTTTTGTTGGAATTCAGACTGTGGATATATGTGTGTGTGTGTGTGTGTGTGTGTGTGTGTGTGTGTGTGTGTGTGTACATATATATATAATTTGTTTGTTTCTGTTCTTTTGAGACAGGGTTTCTCTATGTAGCCTTGGCTGTCCTGGACTCCATTTGTAGACCAGGCTGACCTTGAACTCACAGAGATCCGCCTGCCTCTGCCTCCTGAGTACTGGGATCATAGGCATGTGCCATTATGCCCAGCAAGGAAGTTATATATTTTTTTTAAAGATTCATTTTATTTTTTTTATGTATATGAGTTTTGCTGTCTTCATGCACACAAGAAGAGGCATTGCAGATTACATTACAGATGGCTGTGAGCCACTATGTGGTTGCTGGGAATTGAACTCGGGACCTCTGGAAGGGCAGCTAGTGCTCTTAACTGCTGAGTCAACTCTCCAGCAGGAAGTTATATTTTTAATATTAAAATTTTGTAAGGTTTTCATTTTATGTGTATGAATGTTTTGCCTAAATCTATGTTTACACACTACGTGCATGTAGTGTCCACAGAGTCCAAAAGAGAGTATCAGATCCCTTGGGGCTGGAGTTTCAGGTAGTTGTGAGCTACCATCTGGGTACTGAGAATTGAACCTGGGGCCTCAGGAAAAGCTGAGCCATCCCTCCAGCCCCTCTCTTTTTACTCTTAAAAAAATTCAAATAAGGCTATAAAATATTTTTCTCTACAATGCATTTATATCAGTCTTTATTCAGTGAAATAATGTTCTTTTAATTAAGAACATGTATGAGAATTACTTTTTTCTATGAGTTCTAATCATACTAGTTGTAGGAGCTTGCCCAAGACCTGAAGCTGCAGTTTCCTTTTATATTAAACAGGATATAAAAAAACTCTAAAACTTGAGACTATAAAAGACTAAGATCTCATTGTTTCCTTTTTAAGATTTATTTTATGTGTGCATTTGAAAGTGTCAGATCCTCTGGAACTGGAGGTGCATGGCTATGAGCCCCAATTTTGGTTCTAGGAGCAACCAGTGCCCTTAACCACTGAGCCATCTCTTTAGCCCCATATGAAGACCTCAACCTCGGCATTATCAACACTATGCTCTAACCATTGTTATTTCTTTTGACTCCGATTGCTTTACCTAAGTGCCTGAGGTCAAGAGCGCTGTTTTGCTTACTTCTGTATTGCTAATATGTGAAGCAGACACAGAATTCTCAGAGTGTACTGGACCTGAGGTTCCCCTTTCCCTGTACCCAATCCTTTCACAAGTCTTTGACAAAGCCTCCTTCACAGAACTCTAGGCCAGTCTCTCCTTCCTATTTTGCCTTAGTTACTCACAGTATCACTTCTCCAAATCCTTGTCCTGGTGCCCTGACTTATCTCCTTTGGGACTCATCCCCCACATTACAGTCAGGTTGATCTTCCTAAGCAACGGAATAGGATATTATTTCTCAGCTAAAAGACTTTATGTTCCTACTCATCCCTGAGATGTGCATATCGTCTGAGAAGTACCTTTGCCACTTCCTTTCCTCACCGCACTATATTCCTATGCCAAATTATTAGGCTTTGAAACTGCTATTTTAGGTTGAAATTTGTTGAATGTCAGCAGATCTCTATTGCTCAACCTAAAAGTTAATTATTCTGGATATTCTGGAAAATGCCAGGAAGTTCCACATTTGTTCAGTCTGCCAAATATGTTCCTCTTACCTCTCATACATATTTACTAAGAATCAATTATGTGCCTATCTCTTTTGTGTGGGGAGAACAATATACAAAATACATTTAATTTTATGAAGCTCATGTATGTGAGCAGGAATCAAAAACAATCAAATCATCTCAGAATGTGATCTGGATTACAATGCTAAGTGTGGGGAGAAAAGCCCTGATGAGTGACTGAAAGGACTTCTATGAATGAGAGGTTCAAATGATTTAACATTCAAGATGAGATATTTGATTTTTCTGATAACCCAAAAAAAAACAAATATTTAAGTAGATAGAATGTTTTATGCAGAGGGAGTGCAGGTGTTCATGAAAAAGGAAAATTCTCAGGGGCTGGAGAGACAAGTGTGAGTGGAGGTCATGGAGTTAGCTGGCACAGAACTGCCCTTGGAGAGAATTGCCTTGGAAGTGAGGCTTCCTCTGCCACCCTACCCCAGCTTTATTTGAAAGTGTCGATGAGGGATAGACTATAGGCAAAGGATGATTTAGGGCATAAAAGCACTCTCCCTCCCCATAGGGTACTGCTCCAAGGGGACAGGCACACACCAGAGCATTCTCCTGAATTCCAGCTGCAGCTTATCCCCAACCCCATCCTTGCAGGATTCTTCTAAGAGCTCTCCCTCAATAGGCCATATGTAAAGAATCTTCCCTTCAAGTTCTCCCTCCAGGGAACCTGGCCTAAGGAGACAAAGGGCTTGTGAATGCAATGAACCAGATATAGTATTATATGATTTCCAGTATTTATCTTCTCTTGTTTAGAGATTTTTTTTAAAGGATTTATTTTCACTTGTGTGCTTTTGTCTGTGGAAGTATATGCCATGTGTGTTTGAGATGTTCACAGAGGCCACAAGAGGGCATTGGCTTCCCTGGAGCTGGAAGTGCAGGTTATTGTGAGCTGCCTAATGTGAAGCTAGAACTGGATGCTGAGCTTTAGCAAGGGCAGCCAGTGTCCTTAATTGCTGAGCCATCTATCCAGTCTGCTAATTGTTTAGTTTTATTGTAACTAGAGTTTTGTTTCTTACAAATGTAAGCATTCAGACTCCATATATGGAGACTCCGCATCCACAAACCCAACCAATCATGTATCAAATATTTCAGGAAAAAAAAAAAACGCTATAACTAATACTAACAAAAACACAGCATAACTACTCTCATAGCACTTATACGACATTAGTTGTTATAGGTAAAGATGATTTCAGATATAGAGGAGGTGTGTTTATGCTGTGTGCAAGGGATTTGTGTACCCATGGATTTTGGTAGCCTGGGGAGACATTTTGATTTGACTCTTCATAGACACCAAGAAAAAATTTGATTTTTGTGATTATAAAAATTATAAATTATGTCATTCATCTTAAAGATAAATATTCTGAGAGAGAATTCAACTCATCTTTCAAATTGAAATAGAGCAACTTTTGGAAGTTTTCTGCTACTCTGATACAAAATTATTAATATTATCATTCTAGCACAAAGATTGTTGTTCTCTGGGCTAGACAGATATTTACCTAGGAGTTGCAGGGCTGAACTTCTCTTCTCTTTCTGTCTCTTTTCTTTGGATCAAGGGATTTTCAATTATCACTAAAACAGAAGGCAGAGTATGATAACATCACAAGATCATCAGAATATTTACTGGGCTAATTGCACAACAATGACCCTCACGTAGTAAGGTTCTGTCCTCCACAGTCATCTTTTCATGTCACTGTGAGAAAAGGGATCCTGGAATGCAGTCATAAGCTAGCCCCACATAACATTTCCAGGGCGCTGTGTTTTAAGTAAACAGATGACCTATACTACTATTACTTTATTGATTTTCTTTCATCCAACATTTGATTTGGTTACAATGTGACCTTCAATAAAACAAGTGTTTACTTGACCTTTACTCCACATCTAACTTCACAGACAACTTCCTTCATTTCATTTATCTTCACAGCCACCGACCTATAACATTTAACACTGAAACTTCTCTCTACCCAGTGGATGTCTGGCACGCATTCAAGGAATACTTATAACTGTACTAGGCCAATGAAGTTTCAAAGTTCTCTGTCTTCATAGTGCACATGTTTGACAACATTATTCAACTGTGTGTGTTTCTGGAACATGCATAGTCCAATAGTCAAGTACACAGAATTGAATACTGCTTATCTGACATGAAGAATGTGTGCTTGGTACTGCAGCTTTGGAGAAGAATGATTTGAATACCTGATTCCCTCTTCCCTCCTCTTTTTCTGGACACATGTTATCTTATTTCTTATCTGAACTAGAGCTGTCATCTATTAAGTGGTGAAGTTTTATACTTTATACTAGTACTCTTCCCTTAACATTCTCAAAAAACTAATGAGTGTTATTTCATGGGTGAGACCCATTGTGTGTAGCCTTGGCTGTCCTGGACTCACTTTGTAGACCAGGCTGGCCTCGAACTCACAGAGATCCGCCTGCCACTACCTCCATGAGTGCTGGGGTTAAAGGTGTGTGCCACCATGCCCAGCTGAAAATCTTGTTCTTAAAGCCACAGTGTAAATAACTATTAGCTCTAATATATGCTACTGAAAGATATGTGATTATAATAACAATGATGGGGCTGAGGCAAGCTGGGGCATGAAATAAACAAAAGATGGTAAAATATCTGGTAAGAATATCACTTACGTGGAAACATGTCTTGCATTATGTTTTTAACACCGACTTTTTCTGATAAGAATCAGAACAACTGTTTTACTTTGTTATGACTCTACTCAGCCACAAACTTATCACAAGTACGTAATACTATAATAGGAACATTTTTAAGTGCTGCTGAGCATGGTAGCACAGGCCTGTGATCTCAGTACTTGGGAGGCTGTGGCAGGAGAACTACCACTTGTTCAAAGTAAGCTACTAGTCTCATTCTGTCTCTGTCTCTAGTCTCCCCAACCCCATGCCGGTTTTTTGAGACTAGCTAACAGTCGCAGGCTTGAAACTGGATATTTGGACTAGGCTGGCCTCAAACTCATAGAGATCCATCTGCCTCTCTCCCAAGTGCTGGGATTTAAGATGTGCACCACCATACCCAGAAAATCATTCTCTTAAAAATCTAACAAGCGTCAGATGGAAGAGGAGGAGGACCTCTCCTATCAGTGGACTTGGAGAGGGGCATGGGAGGAGATGAGGGTAGGAGGGTGGGATTGGGAGGGAATGAGGTAGAGGGCTACAGCTGGAATACAAAGTGAATAACTGTAATTAATATAAAAATAAAAATAAAAAACAAAACAAGCAAAAAATAATAATGCCTACTTACCACACTCACCAACCTTAAAGCTCTCTGACAGTGACCTGATATAATCTTCACTGCCCCAGGCAGACACATTCACAAAATGATTTGGTGAATCACGAATGGTGAAACTGAAGGTGTATCTTTCTGATCCAATATCTGAGGAAAAAAACCAATGCTCTTATATTTCAGATGAATATGACTTTAAACAAATGATTACTCAACAAAATAATAAATTATTATAATTATGATAAAATACTTAAACACATGGTAGAAAATTATTTCCTATGAATACTCCATTTTACTTAGTTTTAGTTTTGCTTTTTTGTTTTTTGTGACAGGGTAGAGCAGGTTGGTCTAGGACTTTCGGTGATCCTCTTTGATTACTAGCAACTAAATCATTCTCTAATGTACATTCTATAGTATACTATGTTTCCATGCATTTCCAAGTACAGTGTAATAAGCAGCCATGGTGGCTAGATCTCACTATGGCTCTTTTTCTTCCCATAGCTATGTATTCAAAAGAAAGTGATATTCAGACCTAAATAGTCCAGATGGTAGCTTAGATTTCTGTTTCTCAATTTTTATATTCACAAAAACCTAATTGGGTATTATTTCATAGGTGAGGCCCAGCAAAATTAGGACATGCTTTAGCCAAAATCATAACTCATACTAAATAATTGTTTCAAAACAATCTGTGCTGCATTGAATCTTATGAAAGAAGAGGGAAATAGTGATCTGAGAGGACAGGAACTCCACAAGGAGAGCAACAGAACCAGAAAATTTGAATACAGGGAGGGGTCTTTCCAGAGACTCATACTCCAACCAAGTACCATGCATGGAGATAACCTAGAACCCCTGCACAGATGTAGCCCACAGCAGTTCAGTGTCCAAGTGGGTTCCATAGTAATAGGAAGAGGGACTGCCTCTGACATAAACTGATTGGCCTGCTCTTTGATCACTTCCCCCTGAGCGGGGAGCAACCTTACCAGGCCACAGAAGATGACAATGCAGCCACTTCTGATGAGATCTGATAGACTAAGATCAGAAGGAAAGAGAGGGGGACCTCCCCTATCAGTGGACTTGGGGAGGGGCATGTGTGAAGAAGGGGGAGAGAAGGTGGGATTAGGTGGGGAGGAGGGGGGTTTATGGAGGGATACAAAGTAAATAAAGTGTAATTAATAAAAAATAAAAATTAAATAAATAAAAATAATAAAATAAAATCTGTGTGAAACTAAAGCACCACTAGAGGTCAGCAAGTACTTTTTTTTTCCCCAGAATGGGATTTTTCTCTGTTGCTTTTAATTGCAGAGATGGCTCAGCAGTTAAGAGTTCATTTCTCAACACCCACATCAAGAAGCTCAACACTGTAATTCAGTCTCCAGGGGATCTGACACCTTAGGTTCAATTCCCAGCACCCACTGGGTGACTCACAGCCATCTGTAACTGTAATTTCAGTCCCAGGCATACAACACTGTCTTCTGGCCTCTGCAGGCACCAGGCACATGCAGACAAAACACTCATACACATAAAATAAATAAAATTTTTAAAATAAAATAAAGCCTAAATCTGTCACTGCAAGTGCTGAGATTATAGACATTCACCACCAAGACCAATCTTTTGTTGTTCCTGTTTATTGTTATTCCATGTGGCCACTGTCCTCTCAATCTTGTGCCTTCTTCCAACCTCCACCCAATGTGGAGATGATCCACAGGTCCATTCTACCCAGTCTCATTAGAAGTGTCTGAATTGGCTGCACATAGTGGCACACACCTCTAATCACAGCACTTGGAAGGCAGAGGTAGGTAGAACTCTGTGTGTTCAAGAGCATCCTAGATAGCCAGGCTACATTGAGAGATCCTGCCTCAGAAAAAAAAGAGAAAGAGAGAGAGAAAGAGAGAGAGAGAGAGAGAGAGAAAGGAAGGAAGGAAGGAAGGAAGGAAGGAAGGAAGGAAGGAAGGAAGGAAGGAAGAAAGAAAGAAAGAAAGAAAGAAAGAAAGAAAGAAAGAGAAAGAAAGAAAGAAAAGAAAAGAAAAAAGAAAATAATGTATCAGCTACATTCCTTCTTCCTGGGTGGATGTAAGAAAGATCTTAGAAGCCAGATGGTGGTGGCACACATCTTTAGTCCTAGTGCTCAGGAGGCAGAGGCAGGCAGATCTCTGAATTTGAGGCCAGCCTGGTCTACAAAGCAAGTTCCAGGACAGCCAGGCCTGTTTTCTCTGTTTGGGACAGAAAATCCCTGTCTCAAACAACCAAAAAAAGAAAAAGAAAAAAAGAAAGAAAGGATTTTAGATCACTTAGTGACTAAGGCCAGTAAATCTAGTTCCAAGTTCATACTCTGAGACATTATTGGATGATGATGACGGTGATGATATGAAACTACAAATTAATTGGTAAATTTAATTAACTATTTTGCCAAAGCCTTTAAAATGCAGTTGGAGAACATCACATTAAATCATTGAAAATATTATCTGTCTTTATACATACAGTCTTGAATTGAATATGACCATACATGTAGAAGGCCTGGCCATTGCTCTTAAGGTATTAAACACACTAGAAATTTTAGTTGGTTAAACATATTTTGTGCAGTCATAAGCCACACTTAATGAAAAATTAAAAAAGAGTTAAATAGAACTCAGCTTTTTCTGTCTGGAAAGCCTTTGACATCTGTTTTCCCAATAACTATTCCGATTATTTTCTGAAAAACAAAAGAGTAATAGAAAACCAATATTAAACACAGATGTAAATGGTAAATTTAATTTCATGAACTTGTTATATTTTACTAGCTTTAACAAACATTTTTGACTAGGAAATATTTAAATGCATTTGTTCCAGACAAACATCTAACAATCTTCATAAATTCAGTTCTCTAAGGAATAGTACAAAGTAATGAGACAGTTAACTGCTATTACAAATATAATAATTTACTTTGTATGTTTTTACTTTATTTTCAATCACTAGAGGGAGCTATCAAGCCTTACTGAATTCATCCAAAACACATGCATGACAAAATTTAATTTGCCATAGTCTTCAAAACTTTCCTTTACATAGGACTTTCTAACATAAAACTGTTTAGCTTCTTAATCCAAATATGTTGGGCAGCAATAATATAGACTGTAACAAATAAATCTTAAAGTTCTACATCTTAAATCTTGGAGATACTAACATCTCTTCAAAAGTTGTAATGTTCTCTTTGTGAATGCCAAAAAAAAATAAATATTAAAGATATGCTTTAGGAAGTAAAAGTATCCTTAAAAAAACAAGAAATAAAAGCATCTTTTTGAAAGGAAAAAAATTAAATTTTAATGAAGAATCCTAGCAACTGTTTTCAACCTTACAATAATTTGTAACATTTAAAATATAGTCAAGGGACTGGAGAGATGCTCAGCCATGAAGAGCATGTGCTGCTCTTAGAGAAGATATGAGTTCTGTTCCCAGCATCCACGTGGCAGCTAACAATGGTCTGTAACTCCAGTTCTAGAGGATCTGATCCCTTCTTCTGGCCTTCATAGGCACTACATACATTCTGTGGTGCACAGACATACATTCAAGCAAAATATCCATAGACATAAAATAAAAGTAAGTCAAATACACTCAACGTTTAAGATTATCACATTCCAGCTGAACTGTTGGTCATCTTATCACATATATACACATTGCTATTATTTCTTAAATTCCATATACATGCACATCTTACTAATGGAAAACCTGAACAAAACTTTCTAATTGGGGCTGTAGAGTTGGCTCAGTGGTTAAGAGCACTGGATATATTTCTAGAGGACCTGGGTTCAATTCTCATCACCCACATTGTGTCTTATAATCATCTGTTGGAATAATGTTATTTTATTGTGCACTGTGTAAAGATTATTCTTGTATTATTCAAATGCCGATTCTCTCTCCTCGAACCTGGTTGCAATCCAGACATGGCACTGTAATGCTTAATCTAAGTATCTTCTGTCAAGTTTGTGCAAACATTGTTCCCATTTATTCCCTGATTTGTCAATAAAACTGATCAGCCAATAACTGAGCAGTAGACATACAGGGCTGGACTTCCAGTTCCAGCAAGGGTTAAGAGTTAAGGGATTCTGCCACGAGGAGAGATCCAAGAGAGAGAATGAAAAAAAAATTGGAGCAGAGAAAGCCATAAAATACAAATATCTCAGGGATTTTGACTGGGAAGAAGCTAGATAAGCTTAGAGGATAAATTTAGACTGGTATTGCACAGTTATTGTGCATAGAAAAATGGTGAATATAACTAAAGTCTCTGTCTTGATTATTTGGGGCCAGCTAGGTTAGAAAAAAACTGCCATCTTTGAATTTCATGCTTTAACCATCTGTAACTCCAGTTCCAGAATATCCAGAGTCTTCTTCTGGCTTATGCAGGCACTAGGCACTCAAGTGCTATACAGACATACGTGCAGGCAAACATCCATACACATAAAAATAAATTTAAAAATTTAAAACTTTGTAACTGAAAAAGGCAACTACCTAACAATACATTTTTACATCAATAAATTTTGCATTGTAAGGTATTCATGTTACATATAAGTTTATTAATTTTAAGAAATCTGATTTTATTTATGCTGAGTAGTGGTGGTGCACACTTTTAATCCCAGCACTCAGGAGGCAGAGGTAGGCTGATCTCTATGAGTTTGGGGCCAGCCTGGTCTACAGAGTAAGTTCCAGGACAGCCAGGGCTACTAAAGAAGTCCTGTCTTAAAAAACAAAAAGAAAACGAAACAAAAAAAATCTGATTTGCAAAGCCATATAAATAGCAGCCTGTTTGGAAGTCAGAGCTGGCAGTTCATATCTGTAATCTCAGCATTCTCAGATTGTGACTCAAGAACAACAGAAAGGTTTTTTAGGGCCAGTCTGGTGGTCTACACACAAACAGCTGCTCGAGGATAGAGAAAGTAAGAGAATATGGTAATTGTTTTACAATAAGTATTTCATTTTATCAACCCAGATTTTACTTAAATAAGCCTTAGTAGGCTAGGAATCATTACTCCCAAATTCCACATCAAAAGTCATAAAAACAGCTCGGTATGGTAATGCAACTTTAGTTCCAACACTCTGGGAGCAGAGGCAGGCAGGCATCTCCGAGGCTAGTTGGGTGTGCATAGTAAATTTCATGTTAGCTAGGGATGCCTGATGAGATCCTGTCTCAAAGAAAAAAAGTGTCAAAGCAGCATGTTTGCAAGTACTTAAGATACAAATTTTGATAATTTTCTTAGAGAATTGCTACTGTTTAATTGTATAATAAATTTGAACATTTATTTTGTTATTTCATTACTAAAATAAAAGACTTTATTACATTTATTTGCATAGTATGTATGTATGTATGTATGTGACTAACTGTCCACATGCATGCCATGGTGAACGTGTAGGTCACAGGACAACCTGTAGAAGTCAGTTTTCTCTTTTCACCTTGTGTGTCCTACGGATCAAATTCAAGTACTCAGGCTTAACATAATCACATTTGCCCACTGAGCCATCATTTTGAACATTCCTAATCATATCTATAATCTTGTATCTGCTACTCTATAAATAAAATGTATTTTGTATTTAGCTGATATAAAAACAAAGATTAAGAGTATTTAATTTCTGACAATTATACTAATTCAATGAGTATCTATGTCCTTGTCAATTATACAAGCATGTGTGTTGGCTCTTCATGCCAACATGGGTGGAAGGGACTCCCGTTGTAAGCCCTGTCCCTGGAGACCTCAGGCTGCCAGGCTCCATCCCCAGACTACTCTGGTGGCCAGGCCTGACCCCTTGAGGCAAGAGAGTGGCCTAGCCCCACCCCTGAGGAGCTCTAAGCTAGGTCCTGGCTTTCGCCCACCCCCACCTTCCCTAAAGGCAGTAAGGGCTGGTCCCAGCCCCCCAAGCAGGGAGAGTAGACAGGCCCCACACTCAAAAAAAAAAAAAAAAAAAAAAAAAGGCCACCAGTCCCTGAGCTTGCTCCAATCCCAGGCCACCCTAAAAAGCTCTGATTGCCCCCACCTCCACTCCCACCCTGCCTGATCTCCCCAGGAAAGACTACAAAAACAGACTTCAGTTCAGTTCTTTCCTGCTTCTCTCCTCAGTAGATTCAGCCATCCTCCTGGGTTTTTCCCTCCCAATAAGGTTTGTTATGCAGTGTGACTCTGTGGTATTCCTTGGCTCCTGATTGCCTGGAGACCTCTCCATCTGAGTTGTAACACTTACAATGTGTCCAGTGAATCAGTAACGGTGATATGATGTAATGCTGCCACACAAAGTTTCACGAGCAAATATGTGAATATTAGTATAATGGTTGTGGAAACCTACCAGATTAGCCATATTTGGATGCAGATCTGAAAGTGCAGTGACGTTCTTCAATGCAAAGAAGCTTGCCATGCTTTAAATCTGTGTTTTAGAAAATATAATTTGTATGTATAAATTAAGTATTGAAAACAAATTGTTCGAAAATTTAAAAAATCCAAAACTTAAAATTAACCAAGGAAGCATTGGATATTATCTCCTGAAAATTTTCTATAATGGTAAAATATAACTAATTCAGATTTAACCTGTAGAAAATATGTCTCTCATTGGTTCATTGGCACTGCACAAGCCTGAAAACCTGAGTTAGATTTCTAGAACCATGTTAAAAAAAAAAAAAAAAGCCACAGTGGTTCACATCTGCAGTCCCAATAGTCCTGTGGCAAGATGGGAGCCTGAGTCAGGAAAACCACCTAGAAGCTCCCAGACTGCCCTGGAGCAGTAAGCTAGGCAGAAACAAGAGAAATCCTACTTCCACAAGGTGGAGGGAGAGAACTGACTCTCCAAAGTTATCAGCTGACCTCCACTATGCACCCTGCTCCCCTGCACACATCTGACACACACACACACACACACACACACACACACACACACACTCAAAGGTGATGGTGACAGGCCACTGACTTGCTTGTCTGGTAGAGGAGCTTGCTCTGCAGCCTGGTAGCCTGAGTTCATCCTCAGGACTGCATATGGTGGAAGGAGAAAGCCAGTTACAGTAGGTTATCCTCTGACTTCAACATCTGTGCTCTAGAGAACATACTCCTACCTTACTACATAAAACAAACTTTTAAATGTCATTTAAATTTTTTTTTTAAAAAAGGTTGGTGGTTCATATCTTTAACCCCATCACTTAAAAAGCCTAGGACAGGAGGATTACTGGCCTATAGTCCAGGCCAGCCTATATAAGAACCTGTCTCATAAACAAAGCAAAGCACAAAATCCTGGGCATAGGGACTAGAACGGCGATGGGTCAGCAGTTAAGAGTGCTTGCTGCTCTTCCCAAGGACCCAAGTTTGTTTCTCTCACCACATGGCCACTAACAACCAACTATAACTTCAGTTCCAGAGTATCAGATACCATCTTCTGGCCTCCACAGGCATTGCACACAGGTGACACACAGTCACACAAGTAGACAAAACATACACCTAAAATAAAATCTTAAAAAGAATAAATAAGTAAAAGTTGGACATGGTGGCCTGCCCTTCTAAAGTAGAAGCAGGACTATCAGGAGCTCTGACTGTTGTCAGGCCGTCAGCAAGCACTGTACCCACTGAGCCATCTCTTTAGCCCACAGGTTTTTTGTTTTAGTAAAATTCGGAAGATGCAACCAAACTGACTGACTTGATTTCACTTTTAAGTTTAGGTTTGAGATTATTTCACTTTTAAAAATAGAGCCTCTGTGGTGGTTTAAATGGAAAATGTGCCCCATAGGCTTACGTGTTCAACACTTGATCCCCTAGAGTGGAGCCTTACTGGAAGAAGCCTATCACCAGGGAGGAATTTTACAGCCTCATCTTACTTCATAGTCTCTCACCTGTCTGTCCATCCATCCATATACTTCCCTCCCTCTCTCACTTTCCCTTCCCTGCTCCCCTAGATGTTGAAAATGTTCCGCTCCTACTGCCTTACCATGCCTGCCTTGCCATGATGTATTGCTTATCTCTTTGGAACCATAAACCAAAATAAACTCTTTCTTCTTTAAGTTTCATTTTGGGGGCTGGAGAGATGGCTCAGAGGTTAAGAGCACTGACTGTTCTTCCAAAGGTCCTGAGTTCAATTCCCAGCAACCACATGGTGGGTCAATAACCATCTACAGTGAGATCTGGTCCCTCTTCTGGTGTGCAGGCACACATGCAGGCAGAACATTGTATAAATAGTAAATAAATAAATCTTAAAAAAAAAAAGTTTCATTTTGGTAAGACATTATATCACAGCAACAGAACAGTTACTGATACAGAATCTTTTACTCTATGACTGCCCTCCTGCCCAGGCTTCATTCAGTACCTGGACTAGCCCCAACACTTGTTGGGATTTTGTGTTTCAGGGGGCTTTTAGACTTAGAAAAAAAAATTACTTTGCATCCTAGAACCACTATTTATGGTCATGCATTTTGACATTAATTTCCTAATCATTAAAATGTGATTACTAGCTGGGCACGGTGGCACATGCCTATAAGGCAGGCAGATAACTGTAAGTTCAAGGCCAGCTGGTCTACAAAGAGAGTCCAGGACAGTCAAAGCTACACAGAGACCCCGTATCACTACATAAAAGAGAAAGAAGGATAGAGGAGGGAGACATAGAGTTCCTTGAATCTAATTTCTTTCTTCTTGTTTCTTCTTTGAGCACAACTACTAACAAACCACAACCAACGACACCCCCCCCCCCCCATACCTGGGATTAAAATTAAAACATATTCCTATATTTCTGTGGGTATTTGTTTTGTTTTGTTTTTTGGGTTTGTTTGTTTTGGGAGGGTTGTTTATCTTAGCTTTTGACAGGGGTTTCTCTGTATAACAGCCCTGGCTGTCCTAGAAATTGCTTTGTAGACCAGGCTAGCCTTGAACTCACAGAGTTCCGACGGCCTCTGCCTCCCAAATGCTGGGACTAAAGTCATGTGCCACCACACCTAGCTTATTTCTGGGTTTTTAAAGAAACCAAAATTCCAGAATTCTCACTATAATCTACCTTGTAGAAAGAATAAGAAACTGTGCACAATGTACCTGAACGTTCACAGGTTCTCAAGAAATGATATTTATTTTCAATACTATCAAGCCAGGTGTGGTGTCCCATGCCTTTAATCCCAGCACTTGGGAAGGAGAGGCAGGTGGTTCTCTGTGAGCTCAAGGCCAGCCTCATCTACAAAACCAGTCTAGCACAGACAAGGCTACACAGGAAAACCCTGTCTTGAAATAAAAAAATCCAATGTAGCAGGTTTTTGCATTCCAGGCCTTCCAGTCTCAGAAGAAACAATTGGAAATTAAAAAGTGTTAAAATTTCTTATATTTTACCTGGTCTGATCTAACCTATTAGACAATTTCGCTTTCTGAAATTCTTGCCAAACACACTCATTTATCCATCCATTCAGCAGGTATTACATTTGTTTGCTGGTTTTTCCTGGTTGAGTTGTCCACGTGCTGTGGTGCACATGTGGAGATCAGAGAACACTTGTGGGAGCTGGCTCCCTCCCATCACATGGATATTGGTACAGAACTGAACTTAGGTTATCAGGCCTGACTTCAAGTATGTTCACCTGCTGGGACATCTCACTGGTCCCCTCAAAAAAGTTATTAAGGAATCTGTCAAAAGCATGGTGGCACACATGCAACTATAGTGCCCAGGCTCAGACAGGAAGATCAAGAGTTGGGGATTTACCTAAAGTACACAATGAGACAGTGTGTGTGTGTGTGTGTGTGTGTGTGTGTGTGTGTGTGTGTGTGTG